GCGACATGGGGTCGGGGATTCTGAAAAGGTTCTGAATTGTGACTGGCAAGCCGGCGAGGCGAATTCATTCCATTCACCAAGGCCATTCATTTTTCCAACAGACCACGTATGCCTGGATGATTCTCAGATTGTGTTCACTCACCGTCGCTTTTGGACGAAAGCTTCTTGTAAGATCACGTGTCATGACTTATTTGTTATGCTCATTCGTGGTTGTATGACCATCATTTCGGTTGATAGACATGATTCGTTTGGTAGCTTAGATGGTTTCCGGCCTCTACCTGGGAAACCTTTGCACATTGCCGTACACGCAGCGTACACGCAGCTGCGGCAAGACCGGGAGCTCGTTTGGGGCAAGGTGCTCAAAAGAGAAATCACCATCACTGAGAACCTCCCACCAATTCACATGGAACCTGACAGGGGGGTTCTGGAAAACCATTCTCCTTGTAAAGGGACCCCTGTCAGGTTCCATGTGAAAAGGGTGGGAGAATAACCTTGTTCTAACATATACTTGAGCACTTGCCAACATTTGTTGGCAGCGTGACCAAGCCGTGAAAGTGATGGATTCAGGGACCCCGCGCCAAGAAAGCACGAGGCCATGCCGTTGTGCCACAGCCATGTGCTTGATGAATTGTGTAAATGAAAGAGCATTGTATGGATATACAATTGGGCCTTGTATTTTTACATGTGACTAAGAATCTATATATATATATATGTAATATCTATATGTTGTGACGGCTTGCTCCGCGTTTGACGGTCTTCCGAAATGCCTATTCTTGGGGGCACAGAGCAACGCATCACATCTAACAACTTACGTACTCGGCCTGCGCGGGGGCCTCGACCATGCCAGAGTCGCATTCGTAACTTGAATTAACATGAATTCGGTTGGTGTAGAATACATATGGGTGCGTCTTTTTTAGGAGACCGCTCCAGAAATGGTTGGTTTCCTTTCGGTTCCTGGAAACAACTGTAGAGGTTGAGGCGATCAAGCTGAGATGTGAGGGCTTTTATTCACTGCACTGCAATTCACGACGACACATTAAATCCCAGACAAGCTGCAAGAATGAAAGACCCTTCGATGAAGATATATGCAGGATTTTTGGCAGCGTTGTTTCGGGGGTTATCTTCGGAAGCCGGCGCGCTGCGGGGCGGCGCCGCCGCTCTTTCCGACCCGCAACCCTGATCACGGGAGCGCCCCGGTCAGGGAAGTGCCGCGTGCGCGGGAGATTGCGGCACAAACTCATAGGGGAACGGCGCCGCCGCTCTTTCTCAAAATGCTCGGCCCGCAATCCCGATCACGGGAGTGCCGCGTGCGCGGGAGACTGCGACACAAACCCATAGGGAACGGTGCTGCCGCCTTGTCTCAAAATGGCTCGGCCCGCAACCCCGATCACGGGAGCGCCGCGCGCGCGGGAATCCATAGGGAACGGCGCCACTGCTCTTTCTCAAAATGGCTCGGCCCACAATCCCAATGATGGGAGCGCCGTGTGCGCGGGAGACTGCGACACAAACCCATGGGGAACGGCGCCGCCGCTCTTTCTGGAAATTTGTGCGACCGCGCCTAGAACCCGGGCGCGCGCGAGAGGTTGCTCACAGCTTTGGAAATCGAAGACTTCCAGGGTCGAAAAGAGCCCTAAAGGTTGAGGTTTGGGTGGTCAGGGGTGGGAAGGTCGCTGAACGCGGCGCGCGGCGCCCCGACGCTTTAAGCGTGGAGGCGCGCGCTTGAACTTGGCAAACCCTAAACCCTAAGCCCTAATGCCAACTTGTTTTTTTGATTCGGTTGGGTGGACTTTCGTTGCAATTGCGCCAAACAATTCGAGGGGCGCCCAGTTCTCCTAGCTGGCGAAAATTCTAGGGCAAAGTCTTGAACTTTTGGCTTTGATTCAGTCGCAGTTGGTTCACCATTGACCTGGCGTCTTCCAGCGTCTGTTGGCTCTCAGAGAAAACATGCTTTCATGAATAAGCCCAAGGGCCATCCCCAATCGGTTGAACCTGGTCCAGCGTTTGCAAACAACTGCTTGCCTACGGGGCTCGCAGCTTTGCAAACGACACTTCACTCGCAGCTGGCCTTTGTGTTCTGTCGCGAGGACATGCCAAGCCGACCAGCGGCGGAAGTTCAGGCTGTGCTGCGGCAGGAGGGTCTAGACCAGCTTTGCGATAGCTCCTGGCCGCATTCCTGGATTTTGTTGGCCTTTGGAGACGACCACAAGTAACAACCAACGAGTTTGGACAGGTTGTTTGCCAATCCGCTCGAAGGTTGGGCTTGCAAGTTCATCAAGACCTCAGCAGTTTCCACTCTGCCGGGCACGAGGTTCCTGACGCTGAACCTTTTTTTGTCCAAAGGGCAAGTCCTCCACGAGACCTGAATGAGGCTTGTGCCATGGGGAACTGTCAGGGTGACAAGCTGTCTTCGCTAGAGCCAGTTGACCCGCATGCCCTATGCATGCTGTCCACTTAGTGCTTTGGCGACATGGTACTCAAAAGAAGAAGAAAGCGAGCTCAACCATGAGGGTTTGAATTCGCTCATCATGCCCTGTTAGTGAATTTTGCGTAGTCATACGCGCAGATCGGTTTGCTATGTCGCATGGACTTGTTTACAGGGACTCATGGAAAATGGAACAAGGGCACATACTTGACAAGTCCGGTTTAGTAGCCACAAAGCCTGGCGGGTCAGGCGGGATTTCGAGGAAGGGTAAAGCCCCGCTCTCACGGATTTGCCTTCTGACTCGGGCCATGCACCCAAAAATTACAGCGTTGGGGAAATCTCGGGCAATCCCTGGTGCTTCCGTTGTTTGCACCCAACAGGGCTAGCGGGCTCAGGTTTTCTTCATGGAACCACTGTTTAAACAACCTCTTCAAATCACTGTGTAAACAACCTCTTCAAATTACAGTTTGTTTACACAGCCCACAGCCTCCTCTAGGGATTACACCGACTCTGATATGTGTCTTGTTTCATGTTGGACCCCTTAAAAAATGGAAATATGCCGTGGTTTCCTTTTTCTTTGCCCTTCAACCTCTTGCCCCCCAACAAAAAATGGCTCTTTTTTACTCTTCTCCCTTGAAATTCCAAGAAAGCCCGGGCACCTCCTCCAAACGGGCGCCCAAAACGCCCATTTCGAGGCTTGGGCCCGGCGCTGAACGCGGGCACCGTGGCGCAGGTGCACTCGCTGAGCCTCCATGGCCTTGAGCTGGTGCTCAAGGCCCGGGAACCCGCGGAGTCTAAGGCTGTGGGATCATAGCTGTCCTTTTTGGTTGTTTTGGCAGAAAAATAGATGGCGATTCCTGGTTTACCTGGTTTAATCATCTACCAAGGCCATCTATTTCCCCTAGGACACCTATGGGTGGGATCCTGTGAACCCGAAAACTGCTGGGGTTTCTATGACGGCAATCAACATGCACCAAAATGGCTGGCTCAAACAAACATGCACCAAAATGTGGCACCCAAGGGGAAAAAAATCACGGGGTGTGGGATCTTCGAAGCAGAAACACATACTGTGGATGGTTGCGAAATCCAGAAATCGCACCACAGCTCAGAAACCCAAGGGAATGATTCGATTCCCTATATGTCAACCAACCTTATGGTTTCGACCATGGTTTCAAAGTGGTGCAGGAATTCGTCCATCCACTTTAGGGGTTAGTATAAACTCAGTTGCCCCAAGCGAATCGACCTTTTACAGTTTTAAGCTTTTGGTTTGCAAAAAATTGCCATTTTTTATCGAAGGCAACGATTAATCTTTTGTTTCGGGTAATTTGGGCAGGTGAGTATAGGGTTGTCGTTTTCCGAAAGCGGTGAACTTCGTTGGTTTGCCTTTGGTTTCTCTTTAGACAACCCAAACCACATGACAACCAGTGTCTACCTATGGAGTTTCATTATCTTCATCTAACATGGGTCAACCATTCTTTTAGGGGTCGAACCCTGCGGGGGCTGTTTGATGGTAGGGGCGAATTTTACACGCATGTTGCTCTTGTGATTCTGGCAAAGCAAACCTGACAATGCAAGTGATATGAACAAGAGCAGTTGCGGGTGATACTGCGGATGGACAAAAGCCATTTTGCACTGGTTGGAATGGATAAAACCCTATGACAACTAGGATAAACTGCCTGCCAACTTTGATAGAGTTTGTCCATTCATAGCATGAGTGTAGTTTTTCAGGGTACCTAAGGGAAGAGACAAACCAACCATTTGGACTGTTGACACACACCCATACATCAGTCTTCTGGAAAGTTAGTTTTCCACTTCTGGACAGGGTAACCGTTACCCCAGAGAGTTTGCATTTCGCAAATCTTCCATTGGTAGCACAATTGGCTGTTATTTGAACCTTGATTTGTAGTCAAGGGAACGACATTGGGCAGAGCCACCAAATTGCTACTGGGAAACGGAGTCGAGATACCTGAGGTGACCTGGGCTACATGTGTGTTTGCATCCCCGGCCTGGGCTCCAACTGGCAATAGTCGTACACACGGTCGAAACGCAGTTCTGAAATTCTGGGTTGGTGAGTTGTCGAAACGCTTGACCTTTCACCTTTGAGTTTCCCTTTTGGCCCATTTTTAAGTGGCCCCACAAGGTGAACCGTTTACTTCTGGGAATTTGGGCAACTGAGTTCCCCGCGACCCTCCCCAACTTCCCGCAACACTCTAGGGGTACCTTCCCCATTCTTTCCAGGGATCCTTCTTTCTAGACCTCCGGAAACCCAGGGAAAACGGATCCATTTTTTGCAAAGAACGATGGTTGAAAAGAAAGAAAGACCCCCCGGGTTTTTGGAAAAGAAAAGAGCATTGTTTTTGAAAGAATCAACCCCGAAGACGCCCAGGTCACCTTCCCCGAGGCGCGGCGGCGCTTTGACACCGACTTCCGGCTCTTCGGCCATGCCCGGCAGATCCTGGGGGCCCTGAAGCTGAACGACGAGAAGGAGCCCGCGGAGTGGAGAACGTTGATCCAAAGGTACCAACAAAAAGATGACATGTCCCACACGGGACAAGCTAGCCATGGTCACTCAAGGGCGCCTTTACCGGAATTTTCCAACCATCGTTCTTTCCACAAACCGGATCCGTTTCCCTTGGGTTTCCGGAGGTCTAGAAAGATCCGGATCCCTGGAAAGAATGGAAATGGAAGGTAGCACTATCATGGGCTCCGGAGCCCACCGCCCGTGGGTTTTGTTTCGTTTTTTTTGGTGAGAAACCTGTGTTGGGATGGATCCCATTGATCGCGATGGTGAGCCACAGGCAAGGGGAAACAAAAAAAGGGAAGGCAACAGATAAGAAGAGGTGTGAGTGACTGTCCATCCAAAGCTCAATCGGTCCCTGGCTAGCGAATTTCGTGCCTGCGGTGTACGTCGGCTTGGGATAGCAAATGTGATGTACAGGTCGTATAATTAGGGTACTTGCAGGTTTCGTGTTGGGTGAGTTTCAACTTCCTTGACCCCTCAGAATGCTGGCTTTGATGAAAGCACCGAAAGAAGCCAGGCCAACATCGTCGCCGCCATGTTTGACGCTGTGGGCAAGAGCGAGCAAAGCGTCCTCGCCGAGTTTGACCTGCGCGAAGAGGCGAACGCCATGCAGATCGCTGATGGCCTGTTGCCGATGTGGCCCGCTGTCTACGCCCAGTGGTGGCTTTCTTGAATGAGTGCCCGATGTCTCAACCGAACCCACAAACGATGGGGATTTGACTGCATCGCTTCCGATACAAGCCTGTGATGTTCAATATATGGTTGCTCTGGTAGGGATCAGGGAACAACTGCAGATCAACTGCTAGGACGAAGAGTAAACCCACAACAAACCTTTCCATGGCATGGAACGTGCACAGCAGTACGCAATTTATGTGAAGCCATGCAAATGGTACACAAGGCCGCACATAGATACAGCTCATGCGTTGTACTCAACCTGCGGGCGGAACTGATTTGCTTCTTTAGCCAATGGGTTGTGCTACATCTTTTCACCCTTCCTGGCCAGCCAACAACACCAGAAATCAACACACATGTTCGGGAAAACGTGTTGTGACCTACCCAGAGTTCGTGACCACCCATGATGAAGGAAGGTCCCTTTCTTGGGTATGGCCCATGGCATTTCTCATTTCAAGTCGGAGACGTCGTAGAGTTGACTGCAAGTACGACATTCGTTAAACACACCTCTCAGACTGGTTTCCCTTGCCCGCGGGATTACTTGGACTTCCGTTTTTTTTTTTTTTTTTTTTTTATATTTGTTTTCTGGCGGTCTCAGCTGTTGAACGGCTCATGGCACGTTTTGTTTCGGGGGGGGACCTATGTTGGTTGGCCTTGAATGGAACCGATACATGTTTCTCGCATATTTAAGCTACTTAGAACGCAGGTACGGCATATATAATCCGGCTAGAACCAATGCACCTATGACTGTTTTGAGACAAACTGTGCCACCATTTGCCTGTGAGACAAACCCACGTGTTACCTAGGTCCCCCAGTAGTGCCCTTTTACCAACTTTTTTGGGGGAGGGTTCCCCTACAAAAAATAGACTACAGAAAAAACATCGGGAACCCTTATTCAGGGCTCCTTAAAAGGTACATTTTGCTCCTTTGAAACATGGCTTTTTCCACCAAAATACAGGGAAACCACCATTTACAAGGCAATGTTCAACCTCTCTACTGGAGGACCTAGTTCCCCTTCGAAGGAAGCAGTGCCTGTCTGCGGGCCTCTCCCACGGGCTGCCGCACGTCGCCGCGGCGGCGCTACAAGGCGCGGAGGCGGCCTCGGCGGCGTGGCGCATGGCGGTTCCGGCGCCGGTGGAGAGCCTGGTGACGCCTGGCGCGATGGCCGGACGTCGTTGGTTGGGCCGGGGGAGGGGGGGGAGGGGGGGCATACGCCTCAAACAGAAAACAAGTAAGGATCAGAAAAGAAGCAAAAACATACAAGCATCAATTTGAAACAAAAGGAAGGAAGGTACCCAGGGGGAGGGGTGATTGGTGACTTGAGTTGATACCTTTGCTTGGTGGTGGTAGCAGGAAGCAAAATGCCACCTTTTTGGGGGGTTCGCTGGTTCTTTCGGAATCTGCTCGCTTTCGCAGTTCCGAGACGTCACACTTTTTGGGAAGACCATTCTAGTGGTAGATAAACATGTTGGACATATTTCGGGTCCACTCAGGAAGTGACTGAGAGAGAGACAAACCCAAGTCACCACATGGCTTCGACGCGCGGCAGATGCGTCAGGTGATGACGCGGGCCGGCGGGGAGTCCTTGCAGCAGCTCATGGCCACCAAGCCGAAGGACGTCGCACGGGAGACTTCCTGTTAGGTGCCTTTTTAGGGGGAAGTTCACGGGAAGCTTTTGTTTGGTTTAAAACAAGAAGCCAAAAGGAAAGCCACATTTTTGGGGGGTTCTCCTAGAAAGTTCACACGAACACAGACACACATACACACACACACACTCTTCAACAGGGCCTCTTCAACGACGTGATTTCCTAGGGAGCAGCGGCCGCTAAGAATGATGGAAAGTCGGATTGGCCATTCCTTTGCACTGCCCGAACTTCAACCACCCCACCAAAGAGCTAAACGAGACCCGTTTGCTCGATTCCATCTGTAGCTATGGTCATAAAGTGAACCTACCCAAGTTGTTCCAAAAAAAGTATGGTCACAAGCGACAAAGCAAAGATTCAAGTGGGTAACAGGACACTGGTGTGCGCTGAGTTGCTCCTGTCCGACTAGCAAACGAGGAGGAGCACTCGAGGAGCCCAAAGGAACTGGTCACCCCCCAGATTGATTTGGTTTGCCATGGCTTTCTCTTTGCTTCCATTTGCTTAAGAATATTGTTGATTTTCCCCTGTTGGTTTTAAAGGAAATCTATCACTACTGGAAGCATGTTTTTTTCCCCCGGGGTCTTAAGCAAATGGAGGTGTGGGAAATCCGTCAGGATGGCGCCATGGTCTTCCTGGGCCTGGTGGTGCCCTTCATGGGCTGGCTGCTGCTGACCCAGAGCTCCTCGCGCCGCGGCGCGGGAGACGCGGATTGAGCTCCGATATTGAAAAGGGGACCAAACGGGAAGCCCAGAGCACGCCCCAGCGTCCTTTTGCTGAAACGGACATTTTTTACAACTATTATTTCCCCTCTTGGTTTTGAAGGGAGTCTATCACCACTGGAGATATGTGTTCTTTTTCCAGGTGGCTTTAGTAGTTGGAAGCCAGAGTTGGGTAAACCACTCAGATTCCCCCTGATGTTGACCCCGGGTATTAAACTGTTCATTTTGAGACATGGGGATTGATCAATATTCCGTTTGGCCCCCAAATGACCATGGGTAACTTTTCCCATGTGGCAATTATCATATTTTAGTTGTTTTCCCCAATGGTCGTCCCATTTTCGTCGGACCTTTTGATCAACCCCCTATTTTTTCAAATGCCCCCCCCCCCCCAAAAAAATGGTAAAAGTAGGGGGCCTGGGGGGTGGTCTGTTGATGGTCCCCTGTTCTGGTTTTTATGTTCATCTCAAATCTGTGTTCCCCCTTATTCGTTTTTAAAAGAGGGTTTTTAGGGAGCTTATTTATCGTTTTCGTTAAGGTAATCATTTTGGTAATTGCCCCCCTTGTTCATTGTTGGGCTGGGGGCAAACATTTGTTTCATTTGAAAGAGTTAACCCTTTTAGTAGTTATCAAGTTCTGGGGAGTTGGTGGTGTATTTGTTTTGTTAGTGTTTTTCTCACTAATTTTCATTTATAGGTTAAAAGTTCAGTATAATTATAACATATAAGATTTTACATGTTATTATTATATTATGATTATAATTTCAGTTCAGGATAATAATCTAATTGGTTTGTCTTACTTCTTTCATACATCATTTTAAAAATAATATTAACATCTCTCACTGTATTCTGAACATTAAACTTTTTACTTTCAATAAATAATTTGATATTTTCTTTAACATCTTCTCCTTTCTCTTGACTATAACCCAACATCCATAATATATCATCAATCATTTCATATTTTTTCTTACTGATTTTAAGAAACTGTTTAACACAATCGTAAGGTGGTATTTTATTTACAGTTAGAAATATTAAAATATCATCTTCTACATTTCTATTATGTATTCTTTTTATTCCCAACAGACATTTGATTAAAAATTGATTATCTCTCCAAGTTTTACAATTTTTACATATGTCTTCTTCACCATCCATTGAATAATTAATAATATTATTCACAATTTCATTAGGTAAACTCAATTTATACAATTCCATATTTTCTTTTTTGAAGTGACAACAATCATAGCATTTTTTATCGATATAATTATTGATTCCATCACCGTTCATTTTTCTCTTAATATATAAGGTAATATTTCTTTAAGTAGTTTTGGCTAGGGGGTTGCTGGTCGGCTGGTCTGGGTTTCAGGTTTAATTTAAATGTCTTAACCTTCTTTTTAGATTATAAAACAATGTTTAATCATATTATAAGATAACAATATTAATAAACAAAAGTTAATTTGACCCGTATTCAATCTCACCAGCGATACAACCACTATAACAACTCATACTATACTCACAACAATAATGCTCGTATCCTTTTATTAATTGGTCTGTGTAAATTTCAATTAAGTCGCTTAATATGTTTCTCATATAATAATTGTTATTTCTATATGACCACCAATTGTTTAGGTTAGGAAAGAACAAATCACTATTTTTGATAAACTTTAATTCTTCAATTTTAAGACAATTTTTTAAAAGTACAGTAACTTCTTCTTGATTATTCTTACAATATGATTTTAATCCTTGATAATACATTTTTCTTGTTTTAAATCTTTCTTTAACCTCTTGTTTATTAAATATTCTGTCAATTCTTTTTCTGTATTGTTTGTTAACAAAAGGGATTACTGTTAGACAAGTAATATCGTTATTTAGCATTTGTTCAATAATCTTTAACTGAAGCTCTGCTTTTTCCAGACCTTCTTCGGGAATGTCTTTATTTCTCATAAAATGTTCTTCTTCATCTCTCAAATACCAACAATCAAAACATGTTGGTTTAATATAACCACCTATAAGATTACACACATTAACAGGTAAAATATTAGCTAGTGCCACGACAGACTTACATTTTTTATTTTTACATGGACAATTATCATAATTAAACAGTGTCATTTTTTTTCTTACTATATTATATCCATTTTTCTTTAAGTAGTTTGTATTTTATGTTAAGGGGTGGGGCTTTATATTGAAAAAATATTTTCTAACAATTTAATATAATGGCGAGATTAACAAAAGACCAAATAATCAGCAACATCTATTACGACTTAGACGAGGGTTTCGGAAGCACACAAGCGACACACAAGAAGGCAAAGGAAGAAGACCCAACAATAACATTAGACGATGTAAAGTCTTTCTTAAAGAAACAACCAAATAAACAAATCAAAAATTATAGAGGTACTAATTCCTATACCGCTCCATTCGCACGATATGAATATCAAATAGACATAATGCATATGTCACCTTTAGCAAAAGACAAGAACGTTCCACAGTATGCTTTAGTCGTGATTGACATCTTCAGTAAATTAGCAGATGTAATACCGATGGAGGAAAGAGACGGAGAGCACGTTTTGAAGGCGTTGAGAACAAGCTTTAAAAAGATGGGTTATCCGATGTCCGTGTATTCTGATGACGACGGAGCGTTTGCAACTAAAAATCAAGTTCAGGATTTCTTCAACAGTGAAGGAATAAACCACATCGTCACGAAGACCCACGCAAATGTGGCCGAGCGTTTTATTAGAACGATGAAAAACAAAATTCACGATAGAGTTAGGTTTAACAACATGAAATGGACCGACGCCCTAACGCCGGCATTGAAACAGTATAACAGCACATCACACTCATCAACAAGGATGACACCGACCGATGCACACAAGGACGACAATGAAATAAATGTAAAGGTCAATCTTAAACTACGAGAAAAAAACAAAAGAAAGTATCCCAGAATAGAGGAGAACGACAAGGTAAAAGTGTTCCAAAAGAAAAGGGGTAATTACACCGACAGAAAGGAGTATAACTCTAAATGGTCTAATAAAATATTCAATATCGATAAAATTGAATATGATATTATGGGTAATAAAACTTACAAAGTAGCAGGAATAAACAAACCGCTTTTGAGACACGAAATTTTGTTAGTTAATGATTAAACATAAAGTTTCAGTTCCTTGTCATATTCTATTTTGTCATAATCCATTGTTGATTGCTTCGGTTCTGTAATTTCTTTGTTATTAAGTTCGTTTAAATAATTTTGGTGTTTCAAAGTTTTTTCGTGTCTTGCTTTTGCCCTCCAAGACACACAACAATTACAAATCAAACATGTATGTGTGCGGTCTTTTATTTTCTCAATATATCGTTATATTATGAATAAACCCCTGTATCTTCATCATAGTCAATTTGATAAAATGCCATAGTGGAGGACTTCGGCTCTTTTATCTCTTTGTTGTTGAGTTTGTTTAAATACACTTGTTTCTTATTTTTAAATTCGCCACTGGTTCTATCTACTTCTTTACTTTGATAACTGTTTGTGAATGGTTTCTTCTTTTCCATTTCTTGTAAGATTTCCAAAATATTATTATTCTGTTCTAAAAACTTTTTTAGTTGTTTAACAATCTTATCTAATCCTTCAGCCATGTAAAATATATACTAAATTATAAAACTAAACTTTTAAAACTAAATGTTGCAATTATGTTAAATCTACTCTTTAAATACTAATTTTTCATTATTTGTTTAACAGTTTCCTGAGTTTCCTTTTCACCATTATCTGACGGAGTAACCCCCCTCCCAAATCGTATAGCTATATTATGAACATCTGTTTCTAAGTTTATACTGTCTTTAGTTTTATCAATATTCATTTTCTTATCATTTCTACTTATTTTGAAACTTGTCGGAATACACGAACATTTACAGTTTCCTTTCTTTTGTATTTCTAATTCATTTTTCATTTCTAAGATTTTTTTACACATTGGACAAGCAAACTCAATAACTGATGTTTCTTTAACAATTTCTTCTTTTTCTTCATCGGTTGAAGAAACAACTGATTCTGTCTTATTCTTTTTCTTTCTCCCCATCTATATTAATATTTATATTTTTAATATATTGTATCACAAACTTAATTAATTCTAAAACAAAATAGCATACTTTTTTAAATCTATTATCAGTTAGTATTACTTGTTCTATATTTTCTACTTTATCTATTATATCAATATAATCCGAATAACTTCTATTCATATAAAATAATAAATATAAAATATTTTCTAAATAACTTTAATATTATTTTATTATGTCTGATGTTCCAATAATAAAACCAATAAATATAACTGATTACGATTTCAAACAATCTAAATATGAACATGTACCAAAACTACCTTTTCGCTCAATTGTTGTTGCTTCATCAACGGGTGGCAAAACAGTTTTAATTCAAAACCTTATCCTAAATGTTTATAGGGACTGCTTCGCCCGTATATTCATTTTTAGCCCGTCGGTTCATAATGACCCTACCTTTGTTGAAGTCAAGAAATACCAAAAAGATAATATGAAGGTTGATGACGAAAAAGAAAAGTTATATTATGACACCTACCAACCTGAAGAACTGGAAGAAATAATTAACACACAAAGAAAGATAATTCATTATATGAAAGAACAGAAGATGAAGAAACTACATTCAATTTTAATCATTGTTGATGATTTTGCAGACGACCCTAAATTTGTTAGATATAGTAAGTTACTTCATGGACTGGCAACGAGAGGCAGACACGACGCCATTAGTTTTTGCTTAAGTGTTCAAAAATATCGTGTCCTTGCTCCAATCATTAGGTTGAATTCTAGTTCGTTGTATATCTTCAAGTTAAAGAATGTATCAGAGTTAATGTCATTCATTGAGGAAAACTCCGCCATCGTTGATAAAGAGCAACTGTTAAATATGTATCATAAAGCGGTAGATGATAAGCCCTACTCCTTCTTTTATGTTAATATGAATTCCAAAGATGTTAATAATATGTTTTATGTT